TGATTCATGACCTATTTATTTTTATTTTTGTTAATATATTTTTATTGATTTTAGAGGGGAAGGCAGAGGGAGAGAGAGATAGAAACATCAATGATGAGAGAGAGTCAATCTGCTGCCTCCCGCACGCCCCCTACTGGGAATTGAGCCCACAACCCAGGGATGTGCCCTTGACTGGAATCAAACCCAGGAACCTTCAGTCCACAGTGGCTCTATCTGCGGAGGCAAACCATCTAGGGCGACCCATGGCCTATTTAAAACCGCTGCAGTAGGCTGAGCAGGGGTCTTACCACAATGCTGTTACCTGATAATGAAGGTGTCTCTCCTTATGTTGGGGTAATTGGAACTGCAGGGAAGTAAAGGCACACCCATGGAGCCTGCAAAGAGTTTCCATGCACATAATGCAATCTACTTTGTGTGGCAGCTGAAGAGGGTGAGCAGAACCTTGGAAGGACATGAGGTCTCCAGGACCAGGGGTTGGAGGGAAAGTGCGTGCCAAGCATTCTGCACCCTGAATTACAATCTATATATATAAAAGCCTAATATGCTAAGTGTCTGACCGGCCAGTTGACTGACCAGTCGCTATGATGTGCACTGACCACCAGGAGGAAGATGCTCCAACCAGTAGGTTAGCTTGCTGCTGGGGTCTGGCTGATCAGGATTGGGTGAGACGGGGCCGGACATGCCCTGGAGCCCTCCTGCGGTCCCTCCCGCAGTCCCTCCCTGGCCACTGACCCCAGTCAGCCCCAATTGGACTGGGTGAGATGGCCCTGATTGGCTCCGATCGCTGGCCAGGTGGAGGGACCCCACCCATGCACGAATTTTGTGTACTGGGCCTCTAGTTTAACGTAATTATCCTTTTTGTTATTAGTTTTCTTTCTCTGGCTAAATTGAAATTCCTGTGAGGATAAGGAACCAAGCTTCTGTACTCCTTTGAGTTTAGAGCTGTGGTTTCCAAAATGGGGTCCCTGTACTAGTATTATCCACTTCCTCCTCTGAGAACATGTAATATATACATGTTCTCAGGTCACACCACAGATCTACAGAATCAGAAATTCTGGGCTTAAATCCAGAAATTTATGTTTTAAACAAGTCCAGTAAGTGAGTCTCATGTACATCCAGATTAAAGAACCACTGGCCTCTAGACCATGTGGTAGGCAACTCAGTAAATAATGATTGGAATAATCTAGTTATTCATTCCCTGGATTTGCTATCTTTGTGATGTTGCAAATGGTAACTTAAACTTATAAACTTTCCTATCTATAAAATTGATGTTATGTTTTTAACTGCTTTAAAAATATATTTATGTAATGAATTAGAGTTTGTTAAGAAACATGGAGAAATCAACCTTCTAGACTAGTGTTTCTCAAATTCTGATATTTAGATGGCTTCTATGGAAGTAACCTTGGGAATATTTAATGATACAGATTCCCAGGCTTTACCCAAGAGATTCTGATTTAAGAAGTCTGTGGTTTGTTTCTGACATCTTTAAAGCACTCCACCTCAATCTAGTATGCAGGCCATTTGGAACTATTCTAGACTCCCCAGTTCAATAATTTATTCATAATTTCTTTCTGCAAATATTTATTAAGATTCTAATTTGGTCTAGGCATTTGCATGACGTTGTGTTCTTCTCCATTGATCATCTCTTGGGCAGCCCCACTGTCCATGTTATGAGCCATCTAACCCCATATCTCAGAGTTCCCTAATGTACTCATTTCTGAGGAATCTCTCCTGTATTCTGCATTGGCCACCATTTTTTATGCTCACATCCAGAACCTTAACATTCATAAAAAATTAAACCACTGAGTCTCTGAAATCTTAAACTTCAAAATCCTACTCTTTAACAAAGGTGCCTTGTCCTCTAGGTATTTCCTGTCTTTATCCTTGCTATACCTGTACTCATTGAGACCTCCAGGCTCTTTAATTCTCTGTATTCCCCTAGTCTTCTATATTTTTAACATAATCTGATTTCTTTAACTAGCCTAGATCCTATTGCCTGATACTTTAATCCATTCTTTCCACCCCATTTATTTCATTGCAACTGAATCCACACACCACTTCTCTGGTCCTAGATCTAGGCTTCTAGGAATTCCCAGAGAAAGGAATTCTCACAATTATATAGATCTGTATCACTAGAAATTCACAGTGGGCCAATTTAGTGTTTCTAGGCACACCAATCCGCTTGATGTTAACAAACAACATGCTGCCTCACCATCTGAGCTTTTTACACAGTGCATTTGCCCACTGATTGAAATGTTCTTATATATCTCCCCTTCTTCCTCTCTTTTATTTGGTTAACTCCACTCAGAATGTAGGCCTCAGCTTAGATGTCACCTGCCCTAGAAAGTATACACCAAACCTCCTGCCCAGACTGGGCCAGGCTTCTTCCTGTTTAACTCCTACCAGTCTTTGCTTACTTCTTTTGGATTATCTCAGTGTGATATATTTATCAGCCTATATATCTGTCTTCCCTTCTAAATTTTATGCTCCTTGAGGGCAGGTCCCATGCCTTATTCATCTTTATTTCTGTAGTATTTAGAATAGTGCTTATTTCATAAATGAGCAAATGTGTCAGTGAATGAATGGATATGGGATAAGTTGATCTGTACATTTAAAGTATGAGTATATTGGCCACAATATATGACATTTTAATGAAAAAAAAGAAATTCTTTTCTAGGACACTGAACAAATATTTTCACCCCTACTTTCCACCTGGGGCATTCTCATTACATATTGGCTAGAATATCTAACTTTGGATCTCAGTAATACATGTTAGAAGGCTGAATCTAAAACCAAGTCCTCTGCACCTAGACCAGTGCAATGAGTTTTGAAACAATAAAGCTGTGTTACTGTTTTTGTTGTTAATTAAGGTGAAATGCAAACCACTAAATTTAAAATAAAATTTATGGATAAAGAAAACATAGAGCCATTTTCATCATGTGAAGTAAGACATATTAAAGACATGGCATTAAGAAAAGTATAAGCCCCCAATTTTTATCTAAAATTCTGAAATTCAAATAGTTCTGCAAATCTAAAGCTTTTTTCCTAATCATTTGGCACCAAACCTTGATGTGACCTGACCTAATATACTTTCTAGTTGCCATTTCATGCTTAGAGTAAATATTCATATATTTTATTGTAGAAATATTACTGTGCTTAATCATGATCCCAAGACTGCATGGGAATGTCATGTATATTCAGTATGTTATGTCATATTGCTTTTTTAAAATCCAAAATATTCTGTCAGGTCAGTACTAGACTATTAGGGGGAACACTTCATAAGTTATGTAAATGTCTAACCAGTGTGTTGTAAACCTGAAACTAATTTAATATTGAATGTCAGCTGTAATTGAAAAATAAAAAAATTCAAAATATTCTGCATTCTGAAACACATATATAGTTGCTTCAGTTATTATTTTTTGAGACTGTAGTTAACAACACTACAATATAAAGAGGCCACAGATAAATCATATAAATATAAATTTGGCCTTCACCCAGTACTTCTTTTATGCCTGGAGACTATTTTTATGATTAATTGAGAAAAAGATATGTATTTGCTCCATATCTGTCTTACCTAGTGGAGCTCAGTGACACCCAGTAATGAAGTTTTAGTGGAGAAAAGTGAGTATTACCTTCAAAGTCATCATTTTAAAGGCAGGCTTATCTATCTCTGGGCCCTGTATGCTCAGAACCTGATTGCTCCTATTCCATGCATTGAGCTGAGGATAGGAATGCATTTGTTATTAACTCTTAATAATATTACTTGCAAATCTTTCTTCCTTTATTTCTCTTATGGGTTTCCATCCTTATCTCTGCTTTGAGCATTCCTTTTTTTCCCCTTCACTTGTGTTTAGAGAGTGAAAACTCTATAAGCATGTAAATCAACATAGTTTCTGAACCCTCTTTGGTTTCCAGGCTCTGTAGATTATTTAAAGTTACAAGGTACAGCTTTAGCCTGAAGTTATTTCCAAGCTCCAAGGGGAAAAAGAGACAGGTTAGCATAGTAGGTGAGAGATTGTGCTTTAGATCTAGGCAGGTCTGGATTTGAATCCTGGCTATACCACTGGGTAATCTGGTAACCTCGGGCAAGTTACTTTCCTTCTTGGTGCCTCAGTTTCCTCATCTGAAAATGTAAATTATGAAAGAAATACTTGCCTCATTAAGTCTTAATGAAGATTAAATAAGATCGTGCACATATAGTACTTATACACAAGCCTTGGCACACACTTCTCATTACTAGTCATTATTCACTAATGCTGCAGTGTGGTTTAATGGAAGAGTCTGTACTTTAGAGTCAGGCAGACCTAGCATCTCCATTTACCACTTCTGTGTGACCTTGGATAAGTCATCTAACCTCTTTAAGCCCCAGTTTAATCACTTGCAAAATAGGAAACACAATATTCACCTTCTAGGGTTGTTGTGAGGATTAAATGAGAATAAATTATATAAAGCATCTGGCCAAGTTCTTGGCCTATCATAGAATCTCAAGGACCCCCTTCCACCTACTGTCCACACAAATGCAAAGAAGTATAGGACTGAATACCAGAGATAGTAATAGTTAGTGAAAGTGAAAAATTATAAAATTATAGATAATAATATAATGTGAACTATTACTATTTAGTATTGAAATTCATAGAAGGAAGGAATCCTTGTAGGTTAGGAGTGAAAACGGGAGACCTCTTAGAGAAATAATATATAAGCTGAGCCTTGAAATGTGGGTGATGTTGTCAGCAGAGGGAAATAGGACAGCATTACTGTTGAAGAGGATGAAATGATCAAAAAGACACCTAATAGATTAATAATAATGGTAATAATGAAAAATATGAGTGGGCCAAGTGTAATATTTTCTGTTAGATATTTAAATTCAGTGAGTTAAACAGTCAGGTTGGAATGTGTAGAGAGTTATGTGGGCAAATGGCCTTTTCCTTATAACATGCCAGTAGTTATTGTTCTATCACTGTTGAGAAACAAGGTTTCACTTTGAACTTTTAATATTACAGCAAATGGGTCTATCCTTTACGAAGAAAAGCTAAAAGGATTTTCAAGAAGTTGAAGAAACAAAGAAACAAACTAAAGAGGGATGCTGAAATGTTAAGGGCAGCAATCGAAAATGAGGAAGGATTAAGTGAGGAAAAGGAACAAGAGGATGAAGGTAATGCCAATAGAATATAAAGTTGAAGCACTTCATATTTTACTCTTGTTACCATTATCTTGGTTCATTTAATGTTTACTTTTTACCACAGATGTTAGGACCATAGGAGTATCAACTTCTGAAGTGATAATATCGCTAGGGATATTTAGATGATAGGAAGGTGGACAAGAAATGTACAAACTTATTTGTGTGCCACATTATTGGTATACGTTGCTCAACCCTTCATGGGAACGAAGAAATGGAATCTGGCCTCTCTGACTCTGAGACTCCATGATAGACACATAGATACTCTTGCAAAATAATAATGGGCCATACTCCCCCATAGACCACACCACATATCTAGAGGACAGAGCATATAGCCTCAGGAGTCTGACAGATCTGGGATTGAATCGGCTGTCTGCTCTCCAAACTTATCCAATGCAGTATTAGAAGAAGCTGAGAGAGGGGATTACAAAATCATACACTAGGGATGACCTGGGCCTCACTTGTGCATGCTTACATATCCCTTACCCTTGGCCTGGGTCTCCTCTTACAATAACTGTGAAGAATGAAGTAAGAATAAAATGGTTGGTGAGAAAAAAGGTATACTTCATGGAATAGAGTACTGGACTTGGAGTCAGGAAACTTAGGCCTTTAACTAGTGGTGTTTCCATAGGCAAGTAAACTTTCAGCTCATTAATACCATCACCTGAAGTTTTTGTGTCGCTTAACCAATATAATGCATGCACAAATGCTTTGAAAATTGCAACATGTAATTCAAATTTAAGGTGTTCATTTCTAACCCCAGTTACAAAGAAGCAGAAGAGTGGAATAACCATTGAATTTAGTATCAGGAGACTCTGGCTCTAGTCCCAGTTATGCTATTATTTACAGTGGGAGCTTGGCTAAGTCTCTTAACTTCCCTGGGCCTCAGTTTACCAAATTGTGAAATGAGAGGTTTGGATTGGATGAGTAGGAAAATTGACTTATCTCAGAAGAAACAAAAGAAAATCTTTATACAAAGTATTATGTATATGATACTATTCATATAAGGTAACATAATAAGTATATATAGTAATCATACATGCATATTATTACATATACCTATATATTACTTTGTACATAGTTTAATGAAATACATAATGCATATATGTATATAGACATACGCACACATATATTACATTATAGCTAGATTAACAATACAAACTCTGTGGCTATTTACTGGGGCATAGAAGTTAACTTTTTTATTACAAAATCTTCATTGTGAGATAGCAGATTTTGTCTGTATGTCTCACAGTAATATAAGATGATATATTGGTAAACTGAAAATGCATGCTAATCATAAATTTCAATATATAGAGATTGAGAAATTTGTTGCAGTCATTTCCTTTTATAACAAAGTGTGATGTATATATGGTAGTCCTTTCAAGTTGTTTAACTCTGGTTTACTTTTCTCCTGTAGCATGAGAAGAATGCAAACCATTCAGAGAAGACTTAACCTGATGGAGCATTTTAGAAGGATAAAAATTAGTCCTCAATTTTGTCATGTTTACTTCTTAAAATAAAGTTCATAGTTCTGTTTCTGTGCATCAAACCAGAATCTGAGCTCTTTTCATTAAAAATAATTTCAACAGAATTTTAAAAAACATACGAAAAGCACTCTTGGCATTTGAGGTCCTAGATGGTAATGGCAGAGATTTCATACTGTTATTCACCTTCTAGTAAAGTGGGTTAAAAACAACAACCAGTGATTATATTTCACCATATATGATACTCTTTATTTTAAGGAAAATATGTAAAAATATTTTGTAGTAAGGTTCTTCTTTTTATTTTATAACATAACATTTTTTCACCATAAAAGTAAGGCATACTCATTATAGAATATTTGGTAAATAAGGTTATGTGATTATGTAGAAGAAAGAAAAAAGTTCCCACTACACAGAGATGAACACTGTTGTTATGGTATGTTTTCTTTACATTTTAAAGAAAACAATTGTATTCTGTGACATACATAAATTGATATTTTAAAAATTTATATCTTATTTTATGATTCACTTTCCCCTTTTGAAATGTTTGGGGCTCAAGTTTACCTGGGCTTGTGGTTCATTCATTCAGTGAACATGAATTGAGCTCCTGCTATGGGCCATGAACTTTCTATGTGCTAGAGATATAGTCATAGGCAAGATCTTGCCTATGACTATATCTCTAGCACATAGAAAGGCCTAGTCACTAGGCCTTTCCTTCGTGGAGCTCTACAGTCCAGCTGTGGAGGAAGCTAGTAAAGAAGTAATGACAGGGCTATAATAGGAGTACCAAGTTCCATGAGAACACATAGCAGGAGCACATAGCCCAGACTTCAAGAAGAGACATAAAATTAAAAGGAGAATCAACAGGTGTTTGCCATATAATCACTGTGTCATAGGAGGAGTATCTCAGGTACAAAGGCCCAAGTGCATGGAGTATTTACAGCACTGCAAGTTGTTCAGGATGGCAGCAGCTCGACTTAAATGTTAGATCAGAATATAATGCACATTAATAAGTTGGGTTTTATCCTCTGGACAGAAGGGACCCAATGAAGGGTTTTAAGCAAAAGAATTATATTCTAAAATCTATATCATTAGAGATTAATCTGTGTGTTGTTTGGAGAATTGGAAGCGAGCAACACTAGTGTCAAAGGAACCAGTTGTGAGGCTGTTGTATTAATATGGTGTGTGTGTGGGAAATTGATGGGGTTTAAAAGGGAGTATGACTTTCCGGCTTCTAAATGATGGCCCAAATGTAAAAATAGTGGTGCTATTGACTAAGATGGGACACTTGAGAAGGGTTGGTTTGGCAGGGGAAGATTAATCATATTTGGATAGGGTTTTTGAAGTACCTATGGGCCATCTAGGGAGGGATGACTAGTTGACAGATATATGTGTCTGGAGCTCAGGAAAAGGTCTGTTTTGATAGTTTAGGAGTCATCGATATATAGATGATAATTGAAGGCACGGTGAATGATTGATTTAAACCAGAAAGAATATGAAAAAAGGAAGTTAGTGGAATAGAATGCAGAGAACAAAAGCATTAGAAGGATGGTCAGAAGTAGTGTAGCTGTCAGTGGAGAATGAGAGGGATGAGGATAAGCAGGAGAGATCAGTATAATGAAATCCAAGAGGAAGGCATGCTTCAAGGTGGAGGGAGTGTGATCAATAGTACCAAAATGCGGTTACATTTCCACTGGATTTAGTAACATAGAAGTAATTAGTGCATTTGGCAATAGCAATTTCAGGGAAAAGGTAGGAGCAGAAACTAGATAATGAGTTGCAGTGACAGAGAGGTGAGAAAGTGAAAGCAGAGAGTGTAAACAACCTGTTGAAGAAGTTTCACTGTGAAGGGAATCTGAAATAAAGGTGCAGTAATTGATTGTAGTATAGGATAGGGAGAAGAACTTTTTTTTTGATAGAAGAGTAGAGAAACAGTGAATGTAAAGGCTTGGGTTGTAAGGAAGTTTCAACTTGCCTTCCTGATCCCCAACTTTCCCTGCTGTTTTTTTCCCATAGCATTATGGTATGCTCTTGTTTCCTTTGTCAAATATTAATTGACTATAACAGCATGTGTTTATTTCCAGGCTCTTTGTTCTGTTCCATTGATCTACATGCCTGTTCTTGTGCCAGTACCAGGCTGTTTTAATTACAATAGCTATGTAGCATAGTTTCATATCCATTATTGTGATCCCTCCAACTTTGTTCTTTCTAGAGATTGCTGAGGCTTTTCCCAGTTTTTCTTTTTCTTTCTTTTTTTTTTTTTTGGAGCGGGGGCGGGGGTCCATAAAAATGTTTGGAGTATTCTAGTTCTGTGAAATATGCTATTAGTATTTTTTTCTTTTGTTTTAATTTAAATTCTTTATTGTTTAAAGTATTACATAACTCTCCTTTTTCCCCCAGTGACCTCTCCCCAGCCGCTCCCACACTGCAGAACATGCCCTCACCCCTCTACTGTCTGTGTCAATTGATTATGTTCATATGTATGCATACAAGACCTTTGGTTGATCACTTACCCCCCTGCCCCATCCCCCCTCATTCCCTCTTAAGTTGGATGGTCTGTTCGATGCTTCTATAATTCTGGCTCTATTTTTGTATGTCAGTTTAGGTTGTTCATTATATTCCACAAATGAGTGAGATCATGTGATATTTATCTTCCTCCGACTGGCTTATTTTGCTTAGCATAATGCTCTCCAGTTCTATCCATGCTGTTGCAAATGGTAAGAGTGCCTTCTTTTTTATAGCAGCATAGTATTTTATTGTGGAGATGTACCACTGTTTTTTTTTAAATTCATTCATCTTCTGATGAGCACTTAGGCTGCTTCCAAATTTTAGCTATGGTAAATTGTGCTGCTATGAACATAGGGGTGCATATATCCTTTCTGATTGGTGTTTCTGGTTTCTTGGGATACAGTCCTAGAAGTGGGATTACTGGGTCAAATGGAAGTTCCATTTTTACCTGGAAGTGGGATTACTGGGTCAAATGGGAGTTCATTTGACATTTTTTGAGATTGCATACTGTTCTCCACAATGGCTGCACCAGTCTGCATTCCCACCAGCAGTGCACGAGGGTTCCTTTTTCTTCACATCCTCACCAGCATTTCTCATTTGTTGATTTGTTGATGATAGCCATTTTGACAGGTGTGAGACGGTATCTCATTGTTGTTTTGATTTTCATCTCTCTGATGATTAGTGACTTTGAGCATGTTTTCATATGTCTCTCAGCCTTCTGTATATCTTCTTTAAAAAAGTGTCTATTTAGGTCCTTTGACCATTTTTTGATTGGATTGTTTATCTTCCTTTTGTTAAGTTGTATGAGTTCTATGTAAATTTTGGAAATTAAACCCTTATCTGAAATAGCATTGGCAAATATATTCTCCCATGCAGTGGGCTTTATTGTTTTGTTGATGGTTTCTTTTGCTGTGCAGAAGCTTTTTATTTTGATGTAGTCCCATTTGTTTATTTTCTCCTTAGTCTTTATTGCCCTAGGAGTTGTATCGGTAAAGATATTGCTACAACATATGTCTGATATTTTGCTACCCATGGAGTCTTCTAAGATTTTTATGGTTTCCCGTCTTACATTTAAGTCCTTTATCCATTTTGAGTTTGTTTTTGTGTATGGTGTAACTTGGTTAAAGTGGTTACCAATGGACTTTTCCATTGTAAGAGTACATTTGTTCTTTTATTAAAAGCAATCTGTGAATAGCCAGACTCACTTAAAAATAGGGACCCAAATAAATAAAATCAGAAATGAAAGAGGTGAAGTAACAACTAACACCATAGAAATACAAAGGATTGTAAGAAAATACTATGAACAACTATATGCAAACAAACTGTTCAACCAGGACAAAATGGAAAAATTCCTAGAAAAATACAATCTTCCAAACCTTAATCAGGAAGAATCAGAAAACCTGAATAGGTGGGTAACAACGAGTGAAATTGAAGCAGTAATCAAAATAATCCCAGCAAACAAAAGTCATGGACTAGATGGCTTCATAGATGAGTTTTACCAAACATTCAAAGAAGAACGCTGAGGTATGATCCCTCTATTCCCCTTTGCTGAGAGTGTTTATCAAGAAAGGGTGTTGGATTTTTGTCAAATGCTTTTTCTGCATCAATTGATGTGATTATGTGATCTTTGCCTCTCAATTTCTTTATGTGATATATCACATTTATTGATTTGCAGATACTGTACCATCCTTACCATCCCCTGAGTAAATCCCAGTTTGTCATGGTGTATGATCTTTCTAATGTAATGCTGGATCCGATTTGCTAGAATTATGTTGAGGATTTTAGCATATATGTTCATCAGGGATATTGGCCTGTAGTTCTCTTTCTTTGTGTAGT